GTGTTCTTCTCGTTGATGGTTGTGATTTAAGTTACCTTTATTACATCGTCCAAGTTTGCACGACCGAAGTACTACGTTTTTTAACCTCCTCCGCAAACTAGTCCGACCTTTGAAGGTGCCTTTCTCAGGTCACAGGGCCCATGGACCCTAATGAACGACACTTTGGGATGAGGAGGGGAGGGACAATTTACACAAACCATATCAGTTTGGAGCGATTTCCTCGTTGCAAGGACCATAATGCCTCCTCCTGAGCATCAGGCAAGTCCAAGTCGGCATGTCGAACGGAGTCACGAAGGTCTCAACCCAACCGAAAGGCGATGGTGGGTTGGTCACCGTAATGAAATTGATGGATACCAGGTTAACTTGAACAATCGATAGGGTTACTGTTAACTCTTCGTGACGCAGAACTGTGGTGAGAACAAGGTCAAAACTCCTGCTGACATGAGTCATATAGCCATTGTCCTGCATTAAGGTCAAGTTATATTTTTTCGCGATGGTTGAGGTTTGACAGAAGTCGATGACCTCAATATTGTTATACCCACCGTATGACAAGCCACAAGTAACGTTAACCGAGTTAGAGACGAAAGCCAAATACTGGTGCATGTTCGAATTCTCAAAGTCCCAAGATTTCTGGATGTTTTGCCACGAGATTGTCTCGTACAAAACAGTGACTGTGACAGGGTAATAAGCCAAACAAGGAATTAGGTAGTGCAAAGTTACGCTTTTATCATAGAGAACAAGCTTTGCGGTTGATGTCAATTTGGCGGCGCGATTTAAGCAATGATAATCTCGTTGAAGAGAAATACGCACAAAAATATAATCTTGTCGGAAAACGTTACTTGCAAGGTGGAGAAAATATTCGCACTTTAAAATCGAATCGTGATACCCGTGAGTACTGTCTAACGGGAGGAAGATTACTTTAGGTCGTGGGGAGTTTTCAATATCACGGTAGACATTTGTTGATGGGTGGGTTTGTTGGTCTATTGAATAAAGGGTGTGACACAAGACAATTTGGCGGAGCGGGGTATATGAATTGCATTCCTGTACGGTGTGAAAATTTAACAGATCAGTGTCCCCGTCTAATAGGTTGGAACAGGGTGGAGTGAAGATGAATGTTAGGTCGGCACTTTGAAAAATAGACCTCAAAGTGTGTGAGCCTTTACAGTAATATAGTAATGTGAGGAACACTAAACAAGTCAGAAGATGGGGCATGGTGACAGAGCTAGAATAAATTGCAATTAGGTGAACTAATTTCAAACTAGGTTAAAAGATTAAGATCGGGTCAAATTTACTAGACACTTACTGGCCGGTAGCTTCTCTACCGATTCTTGTTTTTAGAAAATTTCTGATCGAATGAGATCCAATTTAAACAAAATCGGAGCCGATACCCTCTGGATCTTCCATTGTGAGATACATTCTGGATATTATTGTGAATGTCCACTTGTGTGGCAAAATTTGTATTGAATTAGTTGGACATGAAACTAATAATTCTAAAACGCCGAAAGGAAGTGGGACAAAATTAACGATTTTCTCGATAACTGCAAATCGAATAAGTTTGAACGAAATGTCTTTGTAATTATATTTTTAATGAATTCTGGGCAGGCAATCTAAGATTGTTCGGTTGACTAGATTGGATATTGTAAGGTTTAGTTTGACCATAATATATTTGCGAGGTTGCACAACAGCGAAGAACATTATGGAGCAGAAAGTTAATTTCCGACAGGATGCTGACCCAATTTATTTCTCTAATCGTGTACAACTTCCTTCTGGTTGGATACTTGTTGTTGGGTGGTGTGTCTTTTCAGTCGCATAAATATGTGATTCCTATTATTTTGGTTACTTCAACACATGCGTATCAAACACATGCGTATCAACTCATAGAGGTAAAATCACGTTATGAAACTTTACCGGATTGGTAAAATTACCAATCCGGTAAAGTTTTATTAAATTACACACGTGTCTATGTCTATGTAGACGTAGTAATGAATTTAAGTCGTTCTATATATGTGAGACAGGACACGTCATGGATTGTAAAAAAAGAACACAAGAGAAATATCGCCGATCTGATGTATGTCGACGTAAAAACGGATTTTACATCCTTTTACATTTCATCTTTGATTTTATTCTGATGCCAATTATTAGATAAATTTATTTATGCATGAGGTGCAATAATCAATGAATGATTTGAAGTGGATTGACAAGAATTTGAAAGAATGCGGAAGCAGATGGCGTTGACAGTATTGCAAGTAAAGGTGTGATTATCAGTTAATTTGACCGTGCTGAAATTAAGAGTGGCACTAAATTCTATCTCCATGGGATCGTCAGACGTGTAATTGCTCCAAGTTATGTGGTTATCTTAACCCTATTTCGGTAAGAAAGATCATTATGTTAGTTTTGCATACGCTTGGAAAGCAGCAGGGGTGTTTTGGGACACGGTATTAATTATAAGATTTTTTTATAAATCGAGCCAACTCCTATGGCCACCTTGAAAAGTGTAACCGGGGCGCGGTTTATGCACGATTTCTCCTCTCTGTGAATTGTTTTCGGGCTAATTTTTTTTCAATATGAGCACTAATGATAAGTTGTCAAGAATTGAAAATCACATTAAGATATAAACACTAGTTGCCGAAGGACTAGGTGTCAGAAAAATTTCACGAAAATTCCGAGTTTCAAGGGACGCAGTGGTGCGATGGAGTGACCCCAAATTTTATACGGATACAAATCATACTCGTTAAAATACTCGTTAGATAATTTAGATAGGGTCAGGGAGGGTTAGTGTGAACGCGAGGGAATTGTGAACAGTAAAGTTATTTGAATGGTAAAACTACATTTTTAAGTAACAAAAAATGTCATAATGCAGTGCAACTATTCCTACACCAAGTTAAAATTTTACTGAAATTTAAATAAATCGCTTCCTCGCTAAATTTTTACGACAAAAATTTCGTAATTTAAAAACTTTTTGGTTCAATTTGATGGTCCGTTTCTACAAGAAGAACGCCAATAGAGGTGTGGGGAATGCCTGGACACAGGAATACATGAACCAAACCATTGAATTTTGTCAAAACTAAGCCAGCTCTTCTGATTTATGACGGTCACTTGTCTCACATCAGCATGGGGTTAATGCAAGCAGCAATTGAAGCACAAGTGACAATTTTGAAACTTTCACCTCACACCTCCCACATTTGGCAGCCACTTGATGTTACAGTATTCGAAGGACTAAAAACTAAATGGGACTCAATGATAACCGAATGGACATTATTATGGCAAGCAGTTACCAAAACACGAATTTGACAACATTCTTGGGAAAGTATGGAATTCAGTAAATCCCGATGTAATCAAAAAGGGTATTGAAAAGAGTGGCATTTTTCCTGTCAACAGAATGAGCTGAATCAAAAAATCTTACACAAAACAGCAAGCCGGAACTGAAAAACAAGTCTAAAGATACGCAAAAGAAGAAGCCAGTAAAAATTAAGCCAGCCCAAACGGGAACAAGAACATCCAGAAGGAAAAAAACTGGCGAAAAACTATGCGTTTTTTAATAATTTTGGAATTTAAAATTTGTAACCTAACCCCACCACTGTTCAAACTAGCCCCATTTTGAAGGGTTAGTGTGAACACTGGTTTTTTTGTTTTCGATAATTAATAACTAGTAATTCCAATAATCCTTTATAACTGCTTTTGGTCATAATATGAAGGGAAATACTCAATAAATAACACTAGATTTTTTAAATTATTATTTTCTACACGCGACCATTTTTATTTACTGAGGACTGCTCGCTTTTAGTAAAAGCGTTCACTCTAACCCGCCCTGACCCTAATTTTAATTGTTCGACCATTAGCCTTGAATTGGGAAATACGAGATTTATATTTATTTATTATGTTACAGGTCATGGCAAAAAATAAGACTGCATTTTACGTAATTGACGACGGAAATTTAGGTTTGATTAAGAAAATTTGAATCGACCATCGAACAATATGAGCTGTTACTTAAAACGAAATACATATTCAACACAATTTTGATCAGTTCATTTGTGTGCTTTCGGTTACTAAGAAATTTGGTGATAATTGCTGAAGTGACCTATCCAATGCACTTTCAAAGGTCAGTCCATTCTTACATGCGAGACACCGACATAAAAATTATACGTATAAATTAGTGATCGGACCGTTTCGGATCGTTTCGGATTTCGAAGGAAACGGAAACGAAACGGAAACGCCAGTTTGGAAACGGAAACGAAACGGTTTCACATTTTTGGAAACGGAACTGATCCGAAACGAAACGGAAACGAAACGGAAACGAAACGGGAAACGGTTTCGAGTTTATAAAATTTTGTTTTCATAATGATTTCGAGATGAACTTAGCTTTTCAGCGATTTTTATTTTATTTTGGCTAACTAGAAGTCGACGGCAAACAATTTGTATAGTTAGATTGCATGGAAAACATATTTTCGTATCTGCAAAATGTTTTACGGATGACTTTAAAAATAAGTTGCCTGCATCATCGTTTAAATTTTGGGTTTCAATTTGAGTTTCATTCATTGCAAAAATTTCGCACCTATGAATGTAGTGCGCATATTCCAAAAACATTTTTGGAATTTTTTTTGAAATACCGAACTGTTTGTGGGAACGTGCATTTGCATCCGATACATACATATGTACATATACATGCATCCACTGTACGAATAAGAATGCAGTGTTTAGTTGAAATATGTACCTGTGTAAAAATTCAAAAAAGTTTTCTCTGGTGAAATAATTTTTTATTCAGTTCAAACAGTCCATTTTTATCGTACCCCGGTACACATTTCCATTGAAAAAAACATGATTAAATTTTAACCGTTTCTCGTTTCGTTTCCGTTTCGTTTCCGTTTCGTTTCCACTTTTGATCCGAAACGAAACGGAAACGAAACGGTATGAACCGTTTCCAAAATTTTGGAAACGAAACTGGAAACGAAACGGAAACGCGTTTCGTTTCCGTTTCTAATCCGAAACGGTCCGACCACTAGTATAAATACGATTATTTTATTGGAATGGAAAATTTTAACAAAATGATTGAATTGCACTGGTCGGATGAAGTACAGATTTCAGTGATACAACTATATGGGTCTAAGAACAAGTCGGTGAATATTTATACATTTCCTCAAGTTACGTAGGTTATAATCCAACTGCCCTTTTCGCATTGACTCGCCCATAGCCATAAGCGTAATTGGGATAGCCGTTAACAGGTGTTTCACCACATTTCGTTGTGACCGATGGTCGATCCGCAGTCCTGGTCAAGGCGGCCAAAACATCATCATATTTCCAGGTAGGGTTGGCAGATAAGAGAAGAGCAACGACACCAGCGACATGTGGACAAGCCTATATTTTAAAAAGGCAATTGATAGTAATTACTGAAGTAAATAGGGAGGCAAATGTTGAATAAAGTGAACTAGAACCTAACCATGCTTGTTCCGGACATAGCTGTGTAGTCCTTCGTATCGTCCTGGCCAACAGAAATAATCCATTCTCCTGGAGCGGAAATCTAAAATACAAATTATAGTATTGAAGGTTGCAAATTGTATATTATGTACAAATCTACATCTGGCTTATTCATCGGCGTCCTGGTAGAAGGCCCACGAGAGCTGAATCCGGAGATGGCATCACTCTTGGTTGTAGATCCGACGGAAATGACATCGGCATAGTTTCCTGGGTAGCGGATAGAGCTACAATTTCCACCCAAATTACCACTACTGAACACAGGAATGATATTGGCCGCCCGCCAGGTTCGAATCATGTCGTCATAACCAGTTGAGCTTCGACTAGCAGTACCCCAACTGTTGCTGACGACGCGTGGCCTTTGTTGAAAAACCCATTGGGCGCATGACTTTATCCAACGCTCTTGACCACCGTCTTTATTAAAGGCTCGGCAGGCAATCCATTTAGCACGAGGGGCAACACCGATATTGTTAGTTCGGCCTAGTATTGTGCCTACAGAAAAGATTGGTAAAACATAGTTTTGTGTTGTTTGACGTATTCGAACCTAGCGCGTGGGATCCATGAGCAGTCGAATCGATTGGATTTGTTGCATTTTCAACGGCGTCAAACCACCCTGCGTATCCATCCTTCAATGCTTCGTGTTCTAGGAAAACCCCAGAATCGATGATTGCGACGATGACGTTTTCCCCCTTGGTTTTGGACCAGGCGGCTGGGGCCTCTATTTTGTTTACTGTTGAGGAATATAGAGAGATGTAAGGAGAATTGTCAAGAGGAATTAAAAATTGGCTAATCTTGAGGCCACTACCAGGGCTATATATATATATACGTTAAGAAATATACGTACCGCCCCAATGCGGATATTTCTTTGTGTATTCATCGAAGGCTACCCGTTTGGTTCGAGCAGGTTGAACAACTACAGGATCCAGTAATGGAATGAGCTCTTCTCGGATATTGAATACTCCAGGAAGTGCTCCAAGCGACTGAACGGCTTTCAAGTCAACGTTATTCAGACAGATGTCGTTGGTGATCCAGAATGGAGTTGCGGAAATTCCAAACCCTTTGATGGCTGATAACAAAGGTGCCTAAAAAATTTCAGAAAGTGGTTAGTCCAATATAAGTATTATTTTCGGTATTATAAAATTATACCTGACTAGATGACGTAGCTTGCTTCATCAAAATCTCCATCATGTTTGATTTCCCATTTCCACTCAATAACGACAAGGCAGGATTGCTCATAACTTTGTCAAAAACGGAGGGAAGTTCGAGAATTGCGTTTACCTTCTCGCCATTTTTTAGCTTCGATAAAAGTTCGGTGGAAACTGTTCCAGCGAGGGAAGAGTGGATATAGTAACTTATGACCACGAAGAGTACGTTTGAATACATTGTAAGTAGCAGTTGAGTGAAGACTTGATGAAATTATGAAGAATTTTTTAGTCGAATTTCTTCTTTATAAAGGATCCGTGGGTGTATAAATATTTAATTTATGAGGTAGTTCATATGAAAGTTGACAGAATTAGTTGATGGGTGCGATTAAGATGAAACAAATGTTTCTGCAATTATTCTAATTTCCCAGACCATATTTCCAGCAATTAAGTAGAATTGGTTATCGTTACAACGGGATGTTTCATTAATTGCGGTTTTTCAAATGTTTCGTAAAATCAATTAAAAGATTTTTATTGATAATGTCTTTGTCACAGAAATCGTACAATAACCCAATTACTTGTGATTAATATAACTCGTCGAATTCATTTTTTTTTTAAACAATTAGACACAAAAATAACTAGAAATTAACCATTTAATTATTTTAGTTTTTCGTGCATTAACATAATTTTATGTTACATGTATCTGTTTTATAGCCCGACAATAACTAGAAATGGAACTTATTTACTACAAGTATTTGTGGTTTTTCTTATTGGTATAAAATTTGTATAATAGGCAATTAGAGATTTGCATGACGTATCACGTAAGGTAACCGTAGCAATGTTATATATTTATGACTGCGTTTGCGTTACGCGATACGTCATGCGAACCTCTAATTGTCTAATAAATTTATTACACCGTGGACTTGTGAAGCATGTAATTATCGAAATTAATTAGACTTTTTGGATAGCATCCGATTGTATGAAAACTACTAATTTACCTAAATATACAGTGTGCTCCAAAAAGATGTGGGGCTGAACGCTTGGAATTACATTCATTGGTAACTATGGAGTATTTACTAGCCTTCAACCTCACATCTTTGTGGGACACACTTTATATAGATTAGTAAATTGCAAATGGAGTAACACTTTATCTAGGTGCACGTACTTAATAAAACATGTGTGGTTTATTAATTATATAATTTTATAACTGGTGATAAACACATAGCAATAATCCCGCATGGGCTTTTACAATATTAAAATCTAGACATTCCATGTAAATACGTATTAAAGTTATCTTGCCGAAGAGAAAGAACAATGCAGCAAAATATTTAAAAAATACAATCATACACACTCAATCTTCTAAATTATGAGTCATCGATGTCAATCTTTGAATTTTAGATATCGCCCAATACCTAAAAAAACCAAGACTCATTTTCACCTATGGATGATGAGTCAGCACGAGTAGTGTTACAATAATTTATGTAAAACCTAAGTTTTGGTTAACTACTCCATCAAATGTAACTGCTAGAAAGTATATATAGAGTTTAGTACAGAGTTAACAGGTGATATAATTAAACAAATAAGCCGTACTTTTTAGTGAAACCTTAAGTAAACATGTGATGATTGAGATTTATTTAATTTACACAAATATTCACTCGTCGCGTACCAGTTAAAACTATTGTAACTTTAATAATGTTTGGAGATGTATTTAATTTATACAAAGTACTCATGTTACAATCCAACTGCATTTTTGGCATTGACTCGACCATAGCCATAAGCGTAATTGGGATGGCCATTTTCTGTTGAGTTTCCACATTTCCTTGTGACAGGGGGACGATCCGCAGTCCTTGTCATGGCAGCCAAAACATCATCATACTTCCAGGTTGGATTAGCAGACAAGAGCAAGGCGACGACACCAGCGACATGTGGACACGCCTATATTATTAATATAGAAGAAAATCAATTAACACGCATTATTAAAAGCAGTTAGGAAATAAATATTTAGTTACAATTAAATCCAACCATGCTTGTTCCGGACAAATTTTTATAATCTTTCGGATTTTCAGTACCAGCAGAAACTATAAATTCTCCGGGCGCCGAAATCTAAGACATTTGTTTTATTAAAGAACAAATGGCACTTTAAATATATTAAGGAGTTGTTTACCTCTGGTTTGTTTATTTTTGTCTTGGCAGAAGGTCTGCGAGAGCTGAAACCGGAAATGACATCATTCTTCGATGTCGACCCTACGGAAATGACATCGGGATGGTTTCCCGGTTAAAGGGCAGTGCCACAATCTGCGCAGGAATTGCCGCTACTAAAGACGCCAATGATATCAGCGGCGCGCCAAGTTCGGATCACGTCATCAAAAACCGTTGAGGTGCGCTCTCCAATACCTCAACTGTTGCTGACGACGCGTGGCCTCTGTTGGAAAACAAAAGAGACTGAACGGCTTTCAAGTCAACGAAAAGTGAGCGAGAAGAGAAAATCGTTGACCGAATGGGGTGGAGAAATTTTCTGGTCTTCCGTACGGTCAAAATCATGCATTTTTGTGAACTTTAACCCCTCGTATCTCATTTAAAATTGCGCATTCAAGAAAATGTAAAACCAAACGTTGGTAAGGTTGACATGTATAACCAAATTATAGTGATGCCATCTAAATCTGGGTGTAGCCGCTAACACCTTCGCATTGTAAGTATGGCTATTAACAAAACCTGCCATCATAGGAAATTTCATTTCATAGCGTTTTTTCATCCTGTTACCTGTGGAAGCGGCCTGATCTCTTTGTCCAAATAAACTTCCTTGGTTTGGTATATGCATCTTTAGTAAATTTTATTTTTTAACACAAAATTAACCCGGCTCGTTAATTTTATCTCAATAACTATTTTAAGCAAACACTGTCAACTTTTCTTCACGGCGTACAAACTATACCATAAAATAGAATGTAATCTAAGTTAATCCATGTTTAATCGTTCAAATTATTCACCTATGTGAATTTAGTGCTAGATTTTGAAGCACGATTGCCATAATCTTTTAAGCTACTCTCTATATAATCCGTTATTATACTAATACCAAATGGAGATCATATTTTTTGCGAATTGTTTGCCAATTTCTTGGAGATAATTGTCTCTCTTCGCGTGTGTCATTCACAAAATTCACCTTTGTTCATTTTTCTTTGCTCATTATTCATATTATTATAAGGGAAATTTGTTCCCATTTAATTAAAATGTTTAAATTAACCGTGTGCAAAATAGTATCGAAATTTCTCTAGATAGAAACAATGACCATTACTATTTTCCAACAATTCTGCTCCACGAAGGAAACCAAAAAAATGTACTTTGTGGACTACATTCACAAATTGTAATTGTTTGTCAAATTAAATTGAAAATACTGATAGCATATTGAAAAAAAATTTATCCCGGAGTTTCAACTTTTGTAATTGTGATGATTTCAATTACAAAAATTATTGTAGAAATGCAAGTTGAAGATGGCAGCTTTTGTAAATTAAATTAAGTACATGAAATCATGGCAAGATGCAAATTAGACTTGCTAATTGAATTAGTAAAATGCTACATTTGCAAGCCATTCGTACATTTTTTGGATATTTTAAGACACAGAATGCATTAAAGATGTGCAATTCCGTTATTTGCGAATTTTAAAACATGAAATGATACATTTGATGATCAGATTATTTCAGAAGTTAAGTTATTCGTTCGTTCTGTGCTTCATTCACGCCCAAACCCAGACAAGCCTGTTACATTTTAGAACGTGTGTCACCGAGATATTTTGCCGGACTTGGTGGATGTAACAATTTGTGAAATTTATGAAATTTTAATTTCAGTGACGTGTATTTCGTGCAAGTGCTATATATGTTCCTACTTACAATGCGAGGCCGTGAGGTGTAACTCTAGAATTTGAATGCGACCAATTTTATTTTGCAATTTTACACAAAATAATAGACACGTGTTTCAGCATTTGCGAGAATGCGCAGTATTTGACCCGCAATTTGACCTCAAAGTTCAAAAAATGCCAATTTTCACCCTGCGAGGTGCGTTTTCTCATTTGTACGATGAGAAAATGAGCATTTTTTTTTTAACTTTGAGGTCAAATTGCGGGTCAAATACTGCGCATTCTCGCAAATGCTGAAACACGTGTCTATTATTTTGTGTCAAATTGCAAAATAAAATTGGTCGCATTCAAATTCTAGAGTTACACCTCACGGCCTCGCATTGTAAGTATGAAATGTTCATCAAAATTTTATCCCATTGAAGAAAAGATAACGTTTTCTTCAGGTTGAAATTAGTACACTTTTATATTTACCAGCTTCAATAAAATTACATAGAATTAATGCCTGAGATTTAATCTATGATTTTATTGCAACATGACAAATATAGTATAAAATTTTAAAATGACATCATGGAGCTACATTTTTTCTATCTGTAAATAATTTAATAACGGCTTTTCAAGTACAAAATGTTATTTTTATTTAGTAAAGAAAAATAGCATATCATGATCAAATTGTTTAATAATTGGCACATTTTTCTCTCATCTGTCCCGCACTACGGTCATAGATAAGTGATATGTGTAAATGAACAATATGATTTGTTAAAATTAAATAATATTGAAGTTCTGATCAATTTAATTTCTTAAAAAAACGAAAATTATGGCCAATTATGACAAAATTTAATCTGTTTTTTTTTTCATAGTTCAGTTTTTAATAGGTTATAAGGCAGGGTGCCTGTCCGGTAGGCAGGAGATGTGGGGTGAGCACCTGCGTTTTGCAGATATTCTCAGATAACGAGGTCTTACTTATCCTACACAACTTATATTTTGTGCAAATTTGATATCCTTGAGCACAAACTAATCGAATTTCGTATACCATTTGCAAAATTTTGGCCCATTGAGATACAAAAGACACGTTTCCATCAGGTTGAAATTGGTACACTTTAGTATGTACAATCTTTAACAAAATTACATAGAATTAAAGCCGGGAAGAAGCATTATCTTTGTTTATATTTAATACCGCGCATAGCACAAAATTTGAGACTGGCGTCATGATATTACATTTTTTGCTAATTATTAATAGTTTAACAAACGATATTTCAACTACAAAGTGACCCAAATGACGTTCCAGGATTAAAGTTTTATTCGTCCTTAGATAAAAAAACTATTTCACCACAATTTAAAGACAAGTTTAAGGCAAAATTTTCTAAGCGGTACTTACTTTGGTAGGCTATTGACTTGGCAGGGGAACGTTTCAAACGTATACGTGACAATGAACACGGAGCGGTATTTGAACAATTGCGTGACGAAAATATTGGTTCCCTTCATAAATAAATGTGATGTGCTTTTTTGGTCGGATATGGCATTGTAACGCGACTGGTTTACTTTTATCGGGGAATATATGTAACGATAAGTACTCTTTAAACGACGGATATTTCCGTTATCTGACGCCGACAGATTTCTGCCACATAATGAGAAACGCCTGCACACTGTATGGCCAGTGAATGACTGATAGCGTGCACCTTTAGCAAGCATATTGCCAAAACGCGAAGACCAACAATTTTTCAGTTGCGTCTACACTCTTAGAAATCCAGTAATAATTCAATACCAACCAGTATTCATATATGACTCTCCCAAATGGTAAAGATAAGTGATACTGTATGGTAATTAAAGTTTTACAAAACCAGTAACAAATTTTTACCAGGCGGTAATAATGTCAAAATTTTAGTACCAAGTGGTATCAAATTTAATACCGACAAATCAATACCCGCGTGACTTTACCAGATTTCTAACAGTGTAGATCCTTTCATACTTTCGTGTGTGTATTGATTCCATCCGGGACTATGAATATTTGTCATTGCACTAGATAAAATAATACTGCAACCTTGAAGCTCATAACGATGTGGTCAAATTGTAAAATTGGAAAAATATATATGAAATGTATAAAATTCTTGTTGATGATCACTTTGCGTGATGTAATAAACATTTCACTATTTAACAAACCGGATTCTCCTGTATCTCACTATGACCAAATTAGGTACATTAATTCCGAGAATACCATTTCAAATATGATAATGTTAATGCATTTTACTGTTATCATAAATTTCTATTAAAATTATGATGCATACTACTTTGTAAATTTCCATCAAATTAAGTGTTCCAAATATATAGCAACTCGAGTTTGCTGGAATTTGGGGATTCGTGCGATTGGCGAAAACGCCACGAAACAGACAACGAAAATTTGCATTTATGTACACTGAAGGAAATTGATTAATTGATTGATGATGCTTTATTATTCAAAAGGTCTAACAAGTTCACAGTTACACACCATGCTCTTCCACAAGTGACACTTTATATAACCACTATAAATTAAATTAATGATGTATGCATATATTACCATAGATCGGAGTACTCCGGCTTTGGAGTACGTACTCCGTACTCGGGAGGCCGGAGTACGCGACTTTTTCCGGAGTACGGAGTACGTGGAGTACGGAGTACGCGAGGTTGGCCGGAGGCCGGAGTACGCGGAGTACGGAGTACGCGAAATTGGCCGGAGGCCGGAGTACTCGGGAGGCCGGAGTACGCGACATTTGCCGGAGTACGGGTACGAGGAGTACGGAGTACGCGACAATATGATCTTAGAAATTGCTTTTAAGCTTTTGTAATACGTTGAAATTACTCAGGTTATTCACATTTTACTCAGTATATGTGATTCCACACGACTTGCGTTGCACTAGCATGCAATTTATGCTATGAAAGCGATTCTACAACCATAGTTGGAGTACGCGACTTTTTCCGGAGTACGGAGTACGCGGAGTACGGAGTACGCGAGATTGGCCGGAGGCCGGAGTACGCGGAGTACGGAGTACGCGAGGTTGGCCGGAGGCCGGAGTACTCGGAGTACGGAGTACGCGAGCTTGGCCGGAGTACGGAGTACGCGGAGGCCGGAGTACGGAGTACGCGGAGGCCGGAGTACGGAGTACGCGGAGGCCGGAGTACGCAAAATATCCGATCTATGTATATTACATATATACATAATATACATAAATACGTTCTTCATGCTAAATTACTATCGAATTTATCGATGGCCTTGGTCTACATAATGCGACTGGTGACAATGACACATTGCATGTTTGTAATTCATAGAATTTGTTTGTTCATTGCAAAATGGGTAAAATTTATGTATGCAGAAGCACTATTTGACAATCCTGAACACCAATTTATAAATATAAACGAATAAAAATTAGTGTATATTTATAAGAATATGCACAAACCAGTGGCAAATGTACAGTTTAATAGGCACAAATACAAACTTGGTATAAATCATAGCAATATTTATCTGCATTTGTAACAATCTCCATTTTCCCATATTCTAACCCACTTCAATTCACAATAATATAGTTTGTACAAAATCCTTCCTAAAACCCAGATCAATCGTGGCTGTCGCAATTATTGAAAAATACTCAAACTTTGTAGACCTTAATAATGCATAAAATTTATAATCCATCAATCCCACATAAATTACCACAGGTCACATAGCTCTTAATTTTCTCCTGTAACACAATCTAATCCATCTATTCGGAATTTGTACACTTGCCATTTTCCGCAAGGTTTTTCTGAAAAATCGTTAATCTTATACGGATAAAACATGAGTATATTGATAGCCGTAAAGGTTAGGACGAAACCTCCAGAAACGTACCAGTATAAATAAATACCAAACCCTATGACAGCCCCGTAGATAAACAAAACCAAAACCGACAGCCAAAGTTCCAGCAATAAAAATGTCACGGATTCTTCAAAACAGCAATTTCTCTGAACAATTATCACATACGAAACGATAACTTTCGTCAAATTTATGCCATTTCCAGTTCCACAAAATCCAATCAAACTTTCCAAAACGTCACAAGAGAAGCGAAGACCAGATAAAAATAGGATGATGACAAGTGCCAAAGAAATGGAGAAGTTGATCGGCAACGGAATTATTATGAGGAATTGAAGGAATATTTTTGGCATTGAATTTTCTACAAGGTGTCGAATCCGGTCGTCGGGAAGGTTCGATGAACAATGCGTATAAAATAATAGAATGGATCCTTTTTCAAATATACACCCCCAAAAGTTACTGTAGGGGATACTACGGCAAGAAATATTGTCATGGTGGCACAAATATTGTCCAAATCGTAAATTCGAGAAATTTTTTTGGGAAATAATCGACATGCATTTCGCAGTTTTTTAGCGAAAGTTGGCATATGGTTGAATACAAGGGCTGACCTGATAAAGTCCTAGGATTCCTTCACCCAGGAAAATTACGATGTGTGAAAACTCTAAAAATCCATCTTGAACGAGAAGTTGTCAAACGAGGAGGCAACTTGCGATTAAAGTTTTAAGGAAAAATGCAACAAGGACAGAAATTCGGCAAAAGTAGAGCTTTTCTGGGGAAGATGTAAAAATGAATTTCTTCAAAGTAGCGTTCCAAATGACCCGTATGGGTGGAAAGGGTTTGAGAAATATTGAGAAAATGTTGGAGAATTTTGTGAGAATGGGATTATTATAAGTAGTCATGTTGTTAGTGATGGCTTATAGCGACTTTTGAAGGACTTGGGTCTAAAAAATACCGTAAAACACATAAGTAAACAATTTGATTAGAATATGGTTTCTATATAAATATGTAACTCTTGACAATTCAAATCAGCAACCATATTTACGCAACGCAACAACAATCAGCCCACTTAATTCGACTTTAAAACTTGCCGATATGAAATACTTGATGTTTTAGTACACTGTTAGAAATCTGGTAAAGTTACGCGGGTATTGATTTGTCGGTATTAGATTTGATACCACTTGGTACTAAAATTTTGTCATTATTACCGCCTGTCAAAAAATTTGTTACTGGTTTGGTAAAACTTTAATACCAGACTATTACCATACAGTATCACTTATCTTTACCATTTGGTAGAGTCATATATGAATACTGGTTGGTATTGAATTATTACTGGATTTCTAAGAGTGTAGTGTTATTATAACAAAACATTACAAATATGTAAATACACTAAATAATTAATGGAAATATGTATTCAAGGCAGAGTTATTTTACACAATGAAAATTTTCAATGACAAAATGACTGCATTCATTTAACTGCAGATGTCTTCGCGGTGTACATGATGGGTAAAATATCAAAATTTTCGTTTTCATTAAATATTTATGTACAAACTGTTTATTTTTTTAGTCAATGCAATGTCACAAGACTTTGCATTTTGCGGATACCGCTGTCCTTCGAAGCATATTTTCATGATGAAGGACTCTCTTTCCCTTCCAACCTGTTCCAACCCTTACGCGAATATTGGTGAAGGAGCACGTATGATATCAGATTTTTTATAAATATGCATATTAGTTAGGAAATAATGCGTTTATTTAGTCAAGGTGAAGGACGGTTAAATAACGCTCACAACAATTATACATAAGTATGTACATAGGTACATACAATTACACTGCGACTACTAAAACATTCAGTTTCTGGACATATCTCGTGAGACATTTTGATAATTTTTGTTGCCATCTTATGGAGTAAGATGACATATGTGTAAAGATTTAGTTTGAATTATGTCATTATTACTCGAGTTATTTAATAAAAATTGATTTTCAGGTGGAAACAATTTAAAACATGGAATTTATAAATAAATCAAGTTCCCTACTACCATTTCGGTTAATCTGGTAAAAATTGGAGGAGGAAACCAAAATATCCGAATGATCAATTATCTTGACATAATGATAACATAGAGATTTACTTACCACATACGAACCATTTTTTACGAAATTATCGCAAATGGTTGTAGGGAACTTGATCTATTTATAAATTCTATGTTTTAAATAGTTTCCACCTGAAAATCAATTTTTATTAAATAACTCGAGTAATAATGACATAATTCAAACTAAATCTTTACACATATATCTACTCCATAACATGGCCTATCAAAAATTATCAAAATGTCTCACGAGATATGTGCAGAAACTGAATGTTTTAGTAGAAGGTGAAAATGAGCATTGTTTTCATCGTCTCCACAAATCTTGCTTTTATAAAATTTTGATCATTTTTGCATTACTAATGTTACAGTAACTGTTTCCTCCTTGCCAATATGAATCCCTACTTGTCCAAAGTTTGAAATATTTTCGAAAATAACCAACGTCGTTGATTTGGGTCCATACATAATTTGCAGGAACATATAAAATCTGATAAACGCAGACTTGAATATTGAATATTTACATTATTAGAATTTCTAATTATTTGGTCTACATATATTTCACCTTCCAATATACTGAACTAAAACAGGAAAAGAACGTCAAAATGTCACATTTACAGTCAGGTTTATTTTTCTTTAGGGGAACCTAATGCTACACCTGATGTGACGGGAGGAATTTACATGTGTGGATATCGATGTCCAGAAGGGATGACTTTAACCATGCGGGAATCTGCATCGGTTCCCCAGTGTGTTGATTTCCAGTATTTGTGGGCCCTCCCTGCTACCCCAAATTAAATCTGGTCTACGTAGATATTTTGTGCAATTGATTAATGCATATTTAACACGTTATTGCAATAAATACAAGTGGAACGACCAAAGAATTATGTACAAGTATGAGTGTGGATGCAAATAATGTGGTAAATATCGCTCTACACATTTAATTCCAATATCACTAGCAACTGCAATGTCTACACGCCAGGACAAAGGCCTTTTTTTAGTTACATAAACCTCTCATTGTTGTAGAACACGGTGAATTTTCTGCACACAAGTATACATATTGTACGCTTAAAATTATATTCGTTTCTAAAAATAAGAAGAAACACTGACATGATGTAAAATATGTAAAGCTGCGTGATAACTGTAACTATTTATTAGCATTTATCAATCGATTCCAATCCAAAATTTTTATCAACTAGTAAACCTTCCCTAAAGATATTTAATCATCAAATTTATTTCTTCCCCGATCCAAAATATTCTTCCAGGCTGGCAACAACTCCCTGAAATCCGGCATTGTAATCCACCGCCACCTCGTTCCTCACAGCGTCGTTACGGACATCGATGTATTCATCATTTGGACCAGGCCCACCCACAAGGGCACCATTCAAAACGTGCGGATTCGGATTAATGTTGTCAAACTCGGACCACCCGCATGGCACTGGTGGACTCGGACATGACCTATTTACAAGGTTGACAAATTAAGGGCTAATCACTTTTCTTCAACTTTAAAGTGTCAATTAAGATATTTTCCGTGAAAAACACAATAATGTAGGCCTATTTACGTTATGTGTACAGGGTGACGATAAATAAATAGCAGTACTATTGAATGAGTTTTTAAAATTTATAATTGTCCAAATTACGACCATGACTTTTAACTAGAAAACATGATGCTTACGCATTCGTGTATGCAAAACAAACATTTTAACAGCTCATGCTTATTCGTAAATTAACGCTGTAAAATGTATCCCCTGATCACACCATTTTTTACCATCCTACACATAATCAGGACGAGAATGACATTATTTGCATCTAAATATGTACTAATTTACCGGAGTATTAACCTAGACTCAACTGATAAACAATTTAAGGGACTGTTATCCTAACTTACGCTGCTCGATGATGGTAGCGGGTCGGTGGGTTAGTTCCATACCCTACGACGAAGGATCTTCCCCAATCCCCGAGCATCAGATCGATCTGTGTCTTGGCAAAATTGAAGTACTTTTCCGTATTCAGACCAAGCTTCCCCGCCTGAAATATTTAAATAATTATTATACAAGTTGCACCTTAAACTTGTGATGCTGCATAATAATGGTTATCAAACCTGAACGCAGACGAACAAGGAATTCGAAGCGGCCCGGAGGGAACCCCATTCACTCAGGAAAAGGAGCCCTTTAGGAGTTCTGGGAGCTTGATCGACCACCCAGTCACAGTAGGAAATTAGTTTTTGGCCGTATTCCGCCCTCCCAGTTGTTTGGTACAGTAAGATCTGGGATACATTTGAATACGTAAATTGAATTTTATTTCCCGCGCGCAAACATCTCTCCGATACTTTTTGCACACAATGAACTCGCGATATATAAGTTACACATATTTTACATAGAAAAGAAAACCATCTCGTGCTTACATCGACGCCTGAAGCTTTCCCATCCCAACTGAAGTCGTTCACATATTGCAGATTAAATTCCGCGTATAGAGCTTCCGCCTCAAGGAGATATCGTTCTTCCCCGGATGCTCTATAGAGCCAAGCTGCCGCCCAAGCGATTTCATCCTCAAAGGCCCAAGATCTTCGATGAATAAAAACATCGAACATTGACTCCCATAAAAAATGTCATTAACTCGATGAAACCAGGAATCCAGCTTAAAATTATTTATGAACTCACGTATAGAATGGTGTAGCTTCTGGCACGCTGTCACTATACTTTCCTCTGTATTGGTTCGCAAATGTGTATAAGGATTTGGCATGGTCTAACAAGATGGAGGCGTATGTATCGTTCACCGTTTGAAAGAGGAGAGTTCCGGCAGAGAAGAGGGCTGACGTTTCACCAGCGATGTCACTACCTGCAGGAAATATGACATATATTCCATGCCTTAACAAACCGTTACTAATTAAAATAGTAAGCTGCATTTCATTTAGTTTTCTATAAGATTTCTATTAGTCGCATCTCTGCTAATTTGCAGGATCTTTTGACCGTTTTTAGTACAACTAGTCGCATTTTTAAAGTGTTTGCAAAAACGAGATTGGGCATTATTTTTAACACTTTTGCAGATAACTAAATCATTCTCCCGTATACATATACAATTTATTCAATGCATGTACTTTCGTACCTGGCCTTTCTGCCGTAATTTTATATGCTGGTCGAGGATCTGTCCACCGTTCAGGAATGTCCCACGAGTTATGGTCTGCCGTGGCGTTGCCGACCTGCACGAATAACTCCGTCTCACCCGTGTGACACTGTAGGAAAAAGGTTCAACTTTTAAAATTAACCACTCAAAGGGTTACCCCCTCAAAAAAATATCTGCATACCTTCAGATAATAATCTGCTCCCCATTTATACGCCTCCAGAAGATTGTTAAGTTGACCCGAGGCGATAAATCCCTCTTTAAAATCTAGTCCGCCCATCGCAATCGTCGAGAGGGCCCAGGCCTGGGGGAAATTGAACTTTACGTGGTCTCCAGCTATTAAATCAATCAACAAAAATATTTTATCAAAAAAGTTTGACTTAAAAAACTAGGCTAGAATTGATCTGATGGGCATTGTAATTAATTTGTTTAGTGGAATCAAGTGTGGTTTATTTATATTCGACAAACAGTTGGACAGAGTGGAGTTGAGTAATACGTAGGAAAAATTTCTGCCATTTTCATTCCAACTAGAGGGCAGTTTTGTGAATTTTTGTAAATGTCCAAAATGTTCAAAATGTCAACGCCAATGTGTCATGACATGTTACGACATATTGACACTTTGAGAAATACTGACGGCTTTTGTGTCAAAATGTCAGACATACTGGACATTTATGACATGTCCACAAATGACATATATATTAACAACCATAATCCTAGCACGAATATGGGCTTATGAAGCTCATTTTATAATTTAGCCAGTCATGTTTAACAAATATCTCACCGTCGAAATATCCCCCAGTCAAATCTACGTCACCATCGCCATCCTCCAACATGGAATCTCCCCTCCAAGGGATCCGATTATTTGCGGGAAGTCTTCCACTCCGCTGTCCTTCATAAAAGAGCAGCGACTTTTCCAACACCTGGCGATAGTTTTGACTTTGAACGCTGCAAAATGCAGCCAGGATTATGGAAAATGTCGAAAATGAGGTCATTCTGGTTCTCCGGAGCAAGAGCAAGTTACGATGGAGCATCCCGTATGTATACTCGGCTTTATATACGTGTGGTAAGTGCAATTAGGCCAACGTGGCATTCCTGTCGAGTAAAGAGTGACAGCGTTAATCAGCTAAGTTCACAATAGAAGTGCAGATTTGGAATATGAGGGTTCCAAAGAGAAGAGACTATAAATATATGATATCCTAACTAAATTTGTTCTAAACTAAAATAAGTAAAATCTGCTAAGTAAGATTTACTCGGCAATAAAGTAAATTTTGAGCCAGTGTTTGATTTCTTGTGCCTTTTTTGAAATGGAAGGAATGTGAGAAATTTGGCGCCACCTGACGGCTAACCCCTTGAACTACAAATACTTTTAGGGATTCTCCGCCAGATGGCGCATATATGCAATAAAACAATATCTTGCGGTTATTTCGTGCATATCGCATTTTAACAAATACTGGTTTGCTCATATCCAAATCTTTAGCTCATCATAAATTTTATGTAACTTCACATCTACATTCGTCTTCCAAGGGCAAATGTCTGTTGGCGACGGATGCGTTAGTGACGGCGATTGGTTGGTGGTGGTGGCCACCGGAGATAAGTCAGCTGTTCATAAGCCAGCTTGACTGGCTTGTATTTCTAGTAATTACATACATACATAAATATGTATTTAATTAAGGAAAACTGTAGTTGTATTTATTACTAGAGTAATAAATGAACCTCTCATTTACATACATGTACTTAACGCACTTTTATAATGAAAAATACCTCACCGGCCCAAAAATAAGGCAGACTGCAAAAAATAGTTTGCGAACCCTTCATATTGCACTCCAAGGTGGAGTCTCCACCTTACAAAACATGCTTCGTGTGCAAATAACATGGCAATAATTCAACCAAACTTGTTAAGTTGGTTGTCTTCTCATCAAAACAAAATTGATTGATTATGTTATAAATAGTACACATGCACGTAGTGTCCCTCGTTGTCCTCGGATAAGCACCACTTCAATATACAATTTACCTCGAACACGGGGAGAAGCATGATAAATATGAATCTGCATACATACTTCTTAATTTGTGTTCATTCCAAAAACATGCAATGGTTATTTATTCCCACGTACGGTGCGAACTGTGAGCTATACTCGTGTTGATAACGTGATAAGTAACTGTCGGGCGCAAAATATTTGGTGCAAAAACATTCATTTATGGTACGTGCAAATCGAGTTGTGCTGATGCAGATGCCCAGGGCATATAGGCATTTGTCGAATTTGCTCGGCATTTTGAAAGTAGGGCATTTTGGGCATTTTGAAATTTGACCAGATTTCTCCATTTTAAGAACAATAAAACGAAAGAATTAAACATTTATTGGAAATTCGTAGAAATTATTTTCTGCACGTACATTTATGTATGTGGTTAGATACTATCTTTAAAACTTTTCGTAATATTTACATGAATATATGTAGATTTTCCAAATGTTACTAGTTCCCCTAAACTAAAGAATGTATTTTAAATTAAGAGACAAAGTGCGAAAATTCGCGATACTCGCGTTGACATATTTTTTAGAGAAAAGTATTTTTAGTAGCCCAATATATTTGCTTTCAATAGACATATACCATGGATTTATCGGTTATGGATAAGTTAAGAAAACATTGGGTTGAAAGATGAGAATAGACAAAAAGTGTGACTGTGCTTTACAAAGTTCTCAAAAAGTATGGCTGTAATATTATTTGTAGCTTTCTCAAAAACGAAAATATTCCAAAGATCTATGTCCTCGATTATACACAGGGCTTCAAGTTTTCCGACGATGTACAACTTTATGCCTCCATTGGTCGTACAGCGACGCCAGCCACGCCCAAACTCAAATATTGATTTTGGACAAAAAAAATGAAATTCCTTCCAATTTATGCAAACTGTGCCCAATAAAATAATTCTGGACATAATCCAACTCCAGATATTGCAAGTTAATAAAAAAGTCAAATATTTCCAGAGATTTCTAAAACAGGTGGCAATACGTCAACATAAAAGTTGTGAAAGTCGTAGGTTGAAAAATCACGTAGAATTCTGAGACATAAATCGAGTTTGTCACCGAAGGGGGCCTGGCAGTTCTGCGACCCTAATTTTATTTAAGACATTACTCCTTGCTGATAAACATATGCAATTGTTTTTAAATTGCTACAAAAATTGATGGAGCTATAATTGTTTTCGTATAACTGTCTCTTAATTTAAAATACATTCTTTAATACGGTTTGTAGGAATATACCAGATATATACATGTATATAAACATATGAAGCAACATTTGAAAGTTGTACATTAGATATTTCTAACGAAGAAATGTGTTTCAAAGAAAATAATTTTAAACTTCTTAAAATACCAGTATTGAACAACCGTTATGGAATGTTTTGTCGAAAAATTGATTCCCACTATTATCTATTTAATTCACCAACGACGTTAGAAATACATATTTCATTCTAGCCTTAGACATTTGTCTTATTAGTTTCTCTTTACACTTAAGTAGACACGTGTTCAGAACACAGTCAGCTAATGGTTTCACTATGTAGTACCCACTCACACCAATTACATATTATCTAGTCGGACTTTGTACACGTGTGGATTTTGTAAATATTTTACTTCTCTTTTGACTTATTGGAACATGAATAATAAGGTCCAACATTATACGTTTGTACTCATATATGTATGAACATTATCAAACTACATTATAAGCAGCAGTGAATGAATTTAATGCTGTAATAAAACGGGCGATCATGTTCAGTAAAATATGTAAACTACAGAATATTCTCACCATTGGATTGGTGCATCGCATCAGCCATCCAATTTATATAATTTGAGTGGAGTAAAATGGCTTTTGAGACAAAATTTGATTTTTTGCTTTGGGGGGTCAAAATTTGCTTCATATTTTTTCCGATATCAACAATGAGACATAATTATGTACTTACTGAATAGATGCGATAAGTTCAGTGTTGATTTACGCCTCAGCTAGCATAATGAGTCTGCATATTACATGGCAACCTCCAACCGAAACGAAACAGAATTTTTCACTTAAAAAATACACAAATTCAGATTGGGTTTGGATGAATACCTTATCCAAAAGTTGGATAACCGACTCGACTCTGTCGTGCATGAGTCTATGATGCAAATTCAAATATAATATCTGTACCACAAGTCAACACCGGTGCCACTATGGGCGGCGGCAAGAATTTTATTAATGTTCGGCGGTTGTGTAGGGAAGTGAGAACCGTGTCATGGCAGCAGGAATGGAACTCGAGTAAACTTTAGTGACTGCATTTAGAGGTTGTTAACCTTCATACTTGTCACAAATGATTACATTTAGTAATTACCTAGAACGCCATTTTGGGTACATACATCTGTTTACCAGTGCATACATACATACATTGTTGAACCTGGCTTACTTTTGCTGAAAGCAATATGTAAATACGTTTCATAACAAAAGGAAGGATGTATGTCACGGTTTTCTGGGCCAGACATGGTTTGACTTAATTTATCTGGAATTTGTTCAATGGCTTAATTACAATAAATTTATATACACTAACAAGGGGACCTTCCGAGGTGTCCATCGAGTTAAGGGTCGACACCTATACCAAAACAAGCACAATACATTACTTTTTCGGTGAACTGAAGGAATTTCCGTGTAAAATTCATTTTTGACTTAAAAATTGAGCTTCAAAACCAAGAAATAATTTTATAACTTTTAGGTATCGGAATTTGAAAAAAATTTGAAATTTTGACAAAAATTTGATGAAATATCGAAAACTTGAAAAGAATCAGAATTAAAAAAATTAAAATTTAGAAAAATTTATGGTTTTGGACGGAATTTTTTTCTTCAAATTCAAAATTTCGGTATTTTATCAAAATTTTTGTCAAAATTCCAAATTTTTTTGAAATTCTGAAACCTACAAGTTATAAAATTATTTCTTGGTTTTGAAGCTGAATTTTTAAGTCAAAATGTAAACAAACAGAGAGAATGAGCGGAGGGATCGAACTCCTTCCACTCACACGGCACTCGATGGTCAACCGCTCGTCACAAACATCGTCACAACTTGACGAGAAGTGAATTTTACACGGAAATTCCTTCAGTTCACCGAAAAAGTAATGTATTGCGCACATTTTTGTGTAGGTATCGACCCTTAATTCGATGGACACCTTGGGAAGGATCCCTTGTAAATTATATACACAAATTTTTATACACTTGTACATATTTTATGTACAATCGCTACTGTGAAAAGTACCTTTACTTTTTCTTTGTTTGTTCTGTAGTCGTGGAGCTGCATGGTTGGCGTTGTGGGGGGCGACGCTGTCGATGTCGTCGTTGTGGGGACAAGTCCCTCTTCGTCGTCAGGAGTGTGTTTCTGGGGGGAATCTTACGTTAAATTTCTTTTAAAAATATCTACTCCTTGGAAAGTATTTATATTTTTTCTTACCGGGTATGAAATCAGCCAGATGGAAATTGTAGTAACGAGAATGACAAGTAGGATTGCAGCAACTGCGATTATATTGTTTTTCTGCATATTTTCTCCCGATTTTTTCACAAATAATTGTGTGCTTGCATCCACCAAGATTCCCCCTCTACTAGCGAAGAGCCCACTCAACAATTTGCGAATCTAGAGTTGCGACGAAAGAAACGATAAAATTTAACCCAGGGTCACTCACACATTCATCTTCTTGTGATTGTGTAATTTTGCAAGTGATTTAAGTATTCTGGTTTACAGGGTGGTTCAAAAAGGATGTGATTAGCTCGCCGGAAATTGACACAGAGAGGCCACAAATTGGTTTCGTTTAATGTAATACAGGGTGACGCAGAATGGATGTCACAACGCGAAATTTTCCTTCAATTTTATTTTCATTTTGATGCAACTGATGTTGATTTTGGCCATGGTTACGCAATTTTGGTAGCTTTACGGAGGCGAGAAATTTTTTTTTAGTTTGGTCAGGTTAGAGTAGTATATTTGCAGATTACTGAAAATCCAATTACAAAATAAAAAATACTTCGGACAAGATATATAATACAAGCACAAAATACTGCACATCCCCCGAATAAATTTTTAGAGAAATTATTCCGTGGTTTGAAATATAAGTTAGGCACATTAACTGATAAATTTGATGCTAACGCAAAAGGTATAAAATTGTGAAGTGTGTCTTTACTCAACTTGTACACTTTCTGCACCGATTCCAAAACAATGGCTTTACAAATATCCCGACATTCTAAAATCCAAACCAGCATCGCTATGATTAGTGAAGTTCCGCACAGAATAAACAAAGTGATGAAAGCTCCATCCAAACCGATTGCTGAATTGTGTGATATTATTGCCGAATAATTGTGATGATGCACTTCCAAATTCTGTATTTCTGTCTCTAGACGTCCATGAACTCCTGTTTCGAACATGGACTGAAAATATATGGGAACTTTGGAGTTCCCTTCTCTTTCAAAAGCCCAGCCGAACGGGGCTAAGCCAATAATATCCCGACTCTTATAAAATTTTGTCTTGAAGTATTTTTTACTCAAGTGTTCATAAGTCATTCCACTGTCCGCGGCTTGGAGAACGTAAGCAGATTTTCCACATTGCACTATTTCTTTCTCAATCGATTCCCTTGCTCGTAACATAAGCTCCTTTTTATTGGTGAAGTCAAACGTTTTTGGGATAAATGCATGTTTCGGGTTACTTAAAAGTAATATGGTCAGTTCTTCCAAATAAAGTTTGTGTCCATGATAACTGCTGGATATCGCTGTCAGATACAGAAGATCAAAAATTTGAAACATAAATTCCTCTGAAGGAGGTGACAAAATTTTGTAACAATCACTGTTAATATATGGCCTTAACATTCGTGCCCGCTGTTCTACCGGTAGAGGCATCCATTTGCTTAAATCAGTTAAATATTGTAGAAGGAGTTTAACTCTCGTATCAACCCAATTACTCAAGTTTGCATCTTCTCGGCGTAACTCAAGGAAATGCTGATCCTCGCAGATTAAATCTTGAAACCTTTCGGGAATGTTAAACGGTGGGAGTGGGGAGTTCAGTTCTGAAATCATTATTCCATTATAACAGTTCGACATCAAAATCCAGCCGCTAATTAACAGGCGGAAAAATATTTGTCTTTCCAATCGCTTCGGAACTGCCTGTGCCTCTTCGAACATAAAGGCGCTGACAAACAGACATGGGCTAAAACTGAAACTAGCTGTAATATCATATTTATAATAGAACTGGAGAGCTGTTACAAGTATGATAATGGAAGCTGTAATAGAACCCCAAACTTCAATCTTGAATGGCACAAAGTAAAATCCAAACGAAATGGACTTGTCAGACGAACAGGTTAGGAATTGATAACCTAGAAATTTTAATGGTACAATTTTCCCAAAAAAACAGTCCGGCAAAATTTCCACATCATATAGAGGAAGATCATATTTTCTTAAAATTAGCACCCCACCATATTTCGACTTCGACTCGGGTCCATTACCAGAAATGTATAGACTAGCGTTGGCTTGGCGAAACACTGTTTGAAATAAATGTTGATATACTAAATGTTTTTCTAGTCGTAGAAAAGGGTTAGATGTGAAGGCTAGTTTAGCAATGTCATTAGAATGTTTTTTATAAAATTCCCGATGGGTATTCAACATCCAATAATTGGGAGCAGATAATAATTCGGTAAACAAAGGTATAATATTGTTATTAATAACCATACAATCTGTGGAGTAAATATTCTCAGATACTCTTTGTATGGGTTGAACGCACAAGATGAACGCGTTATGGTGTACGGAGAATATAATTCCGAAGTTGTCTAATATACCATCTAGTAGAAGATATCCTGTGTCCCGGTGTCTTACTGGGTAGCGAATAGTTTTGTTTGCTAGAACCTGATGCATATTTGAAAGAAGAATTGTGTAGGAATTTCGTAATGTTAATCTCCATCCCTTGTATTTACTATGGGTATATGTATAAGGTGCCATTCCCACCCAGATATCCCACGTATCTTTATGTAACTGAGATCCAGTTATCGTATAGTAATCGCACACAAGGAATGTGATTCTACAGCTCTGCTCTCGACGTCTTGATGCATCCCTATCCAAGTGTTTTTGAATGAACAATCGATCCCATAAACTTGCGAACAGACGTAATTGTCGTAACATGATTCAGTGCAGTGTGTAGGTAGGATAGATCTTTATAATCGCTTTGGTTCACGATCAGTTGTACTTGGCAGTTATATATTCCAAATAATTGAGGAGGGCTTTCATGGATGTATTCCGTTAAAGTGAAACAAGTTGGAAAGTACGCTATGTGAAGCAATATAATTATGCATGTTTGTAAACGGTGCATTTTCCTGGAGAAAATTTTAAGGGTTCTTGTTACAGCACATATAGTTTTAGCGTAGTACAAAAGACTTCGAAGTATGTTTGTTTATGTAAATGTTAAAAATCCTAGTCTTTAATATTTAATTGTATTTAATAGTAGTCGAAGCTGAATTTCCTTACATGTCTGAACAGTACAATGACTGGAGTTAAGTGATTGCATGTGTTATGTATGCAAAAGAATTTTGATTAGTACTAAAGCTAAAGGACGTAATCAATATATATAAATAAATTATGGATTATCGAGTGAAGAATTATATTATGAAATTTTCAACACTTAACTAATTCAGGCGTTTCAATTCTATTTGCAATTTTTTTTCTGGACAAGATGGATTTTGGCTGAGGTCGATATCGTTAAATATTTAGATATCCTCGCCTTTTTATGTAAGATTCGAAAAAAACAAGAGACATATTTGTTTAAATTGTTGTATTATGTAGTGACAAAGCCATATCAATTATTTTTGTAAAAAAAACACTGTCATGTAAGGCAGTCTGACTCGCGAATAAAAAAGTAAAACAAGAATTTTTTAATTTGACAGAGATCAGATATAGGAATAATATAAAATATTTAAGAATTATAGTACTTGCATTATAGGAAGTGCCTCGTCGTGGGCCCATCATCTTTTTATCTTTTTCAAACTTCTTTATGAAATGAGGTTATTTATTTAACACATGTTTTACTCTTGGAGGTATTACCAGATTATCGTTGAAAAAAATAGTCTTTTACAGTAAAATACGAGGAGCACTTTTCCTCGGGACATTGACGGCCGGATCCGACTCTAGGCCCTCATAGCCGAGTGGTAAACGCCTCTGACTTCTGTGCAATTGAACCCAGGTTCGAATCCCTTAGGATTCCATCAATATTTTTGCATTTTTGTTTTGACCGTTTTACACGTAATTTAGGGTAGGGATTTTAGATATCGACACTGCTTTGGCCTACAATGTTCCTCTGACCGCGTACATCAGGTTAAACGTCATAAATTGCGAATTTTCTCACTTTTCATGCATGTAATATGTGCATATATGCATGCAAATACGTGCCAATGTCTGCACACATGCATGCATACAATTACATATGCACAAATACATACATATGTGTACACTATTCGAAGCAATACATATACAACGCAATTATGCACATGTCCACATCATCAACTTGTATGAATTTTTGCACACAACCGTCTTCCTCCCAATGCCATAACTTTTGAACGGGGCAACTTTTTTGTATTCCGTCTTTGGATATCAGACCTATGTAAGTAATATGGGTCTGATTGGAACCATGTGTGAGTGCAATTGGAGCCTAACCTACTAAAATTCCCAAGTGAGTGATAATGCAGAATTACACAATATATACCCGTCCCAATGCATACTAAATCATCAATTCGAGTACCTGACTATCACCATAGCTGGATTTCAATTGGTTTTGTTATGATAAAGATTGCCTACAATCAGTAGTTACGTAAGAAATTATGCATCCACGTTATGCTTGTATACCTTATTTACTTACACTATTTACACACCTTATCAATAAAAAAAACTCAATAATATGTTGATACAAGTAGTCAATCCTCAGCAGCTATCTATGTAGGTATATACATACTATGTCGAATTATTGAGTGGATAATCATTAATTTTAAATTTTAAAGGTATTTAATGCATAGGAGAAGCGGATCGTTTTTTTGATAATTTAACATTTAATGCATTTAATTTAATTCAGTGTAATTTCCTATTATAAGTCATTACTTGCAAGGGCCGATTGCTGAATAAGCTAAACCAAATATCTATTTATCTTTTTCTCAACATGTCTCTCTCTCTAGTTAATTGCAGTATACTAAAATTAAACCACCACTCTGTATGGGTGTATTATCTATTCATATGGAATATAATACGCTTAACTGGAGAGTAATGGCTACAAGGTAGGGCTTGCAATACCGAGGCCTTTTCTCAATACCGGTATTCGGTATTTCCGGTATTGGGGCCTTCGGTAATACCGAAAGTCGAACATTCAATCTATAGGGCCGCAGACTTAGGTAAATAATGGTGTAATAATCAAAGAACCAGAGCTACGAACTATACCAAAATTCCTATACAGATCAATAGTCCGGTTTTTATTTCTAATGTACAAGTTCGGTAGGATAATGTAGTTTAAGAACTTATTCACCAAGTATTCTGTCAAATGCAGTGGTTCTAAAGTTTAGCCTAATGCATTTTAATTTGTTCATATTGTTAGGTTTTCCATATAGCGAGAACTTAACTTGGGCATTGTTTTGAATACTAAAATTTTGGTTCAGTTGGTTAAATCGAAATGTTAATTTTTTCCAGGCTAATTTTTTAGTACAATCGTATAATTGGTCAATTCCATTTATGCACAGAATAAAATAGGGTAACATATTTACATCATATGTACTAATAATCAGGAATCTGAGTACTTACATTAAGCCAGACAATTTCCAATTTGTTTCAATTGATTGAGCTCCGATTAGTTAATTAGATTCACCTAATCTGCAAGAAAATCTTTGAATGTTTTAATTTCAAACCAAGTATTTAATATTGGAATTGGAATTTATAGAACTTATTTGTAATCCGAAATGTGAAAACTTATAAACCGATATTTCTAATGAGTTTTCTCGCCCTGCAATTAATTAAAAATAATATGAAGATGTTTCTGCCTGCCTGGGACAAACTAACATTTGACCTGTCAAAATCTAAAGGTATATATTAACGTAAACACTTATCTCCGTACCGCAAGGCTCGGATTTTTAATGGAAATTCATGAACGCCAACATTTGTGAATAGCCACTTTGCTTAACAATGTTATATTTATAACGTGAAATGCTGATACATAAAACTTGCGATTTCCACACATTAGACAGAATTTTGCACTAATAATGCCGAAGAGTGAATTTGCGTGTGCAAAAAATTAAGAAATATGTTTTCAAACTGGAGAAAAATCGGAAATCTGCTTTTCTAAAATTGCTTGAAAATTTCAAATTTTTTCTTTCAATACCGGTATTGGGAGACCCAAAACCGGTATTCGGTAATACCGGTGAATACCGGGACTGGAACTCCGGTATTGCAAGCTCTACCACAAGGTGAGTAAGCCAGATATTACAGCTCTGGAACGCCACACTAGATGGACATTCACATTGCAAAAATAATTTTGTAAAAATACGATCCTGTTACAGAATTTTATTTTGTGTAAAATACATGTACGACAATTCGACTGATTCAATTTTACGAAAATTTGATTGAATCCATTATTGTTTGTTTGCATAATAATTATTATGTATTATTTATTTATTTCCGCGAGTATTTAAATACTCGCGGTGTAGACACATATGCACCCCGCATTCGGTGTAAATTTTACTCCAACAGTGACGATTTAACTCTGCCGGTGTAAATTCACCTCCATTGGAGTAAAATTTACACCGAACGCCGGGTGTATATGTGGCTACACCGTGAGTATTTACACCATATTTTTTGCAGTGAATCTTAAATTTATAGAGAATGTACTGAAGGATGTTTTTTCGTTTCTTGGCGCCACGGTCATTCCTTCTCCTAAATTTCGATATCCGAAATCCATCCTGTATCAAGTCCAATGAATGAAAATTGGTTCTCGACAACATGTCGAATTTAAACATACCGAATTTAGCCTTGACTGACGTCCGAGTCTTTTATGAATAAATACGACAACACATTGTAATGCCGAAGTATAATGTTATATCTAATTTTTTTAACTTTAAATAAATTTTTAAGAACAGAAGCCGAGAAAGTCTAATAATTAGAACCATATGAATATTTTGAACTCCGGGAATCTGGTTACTATATAGTTATAACAAAAAAGTCAGTACACCTATAGACACTTGTAAGTTTAATATAATATAATACAGCGTATTTTCGTGATATGTTCCGGTGTGTGAAAATTTTTATGATAATAACCACTTGGCCGTCCTTTGTTTTTTGTTAGCACAACCATTAGAAGGAATTTTACGGGAAATTTTCAATTTCTAAAGTTTACTATGAGGGAGTGATGGCACTATTCCCAAAAAACAAAAATTTTACCATGGTTACAACTTTCCAACGAAGACATAAAAAGTTTTGCAGCTAAAACTTTGTATTTTTATCAAAATTTCTTTGTACCTAAGAAATCCGCCCTTTTCGAAATGCTCTAAACTTGCGGTTCAGTCTGATCAGGTTTGAAATGGAAAAGTGTATCCGAATCAACTCTGTTAACATATTATTACAAAATTCAAGAAATCACCAAATTTTGCAAATGTCAAATAAATTCAAATTCTTTATTATTTCAGTTGAAAATATTGAAATACATATTTCCTTTTAAACAACGTTGACTGGGATGACGAGACAGAACTCTTGTTTCCAGTTTTCATGAAGTTCAAGCCTGATGTAAGATTTCTGAAAAAAGTATAATAAAAAAATATTCTTTACTCCTGCAGCCATAGACACCAGGTTAATTTGAAGCTTTACCCCTCGGAAGCTGGGGTTGAAAACAAAGTCATGCGTGAATGTATAGAGTTGCCCAGGAGTCACGACGGAGTCGGGAACTGCGGTTTCCGGAAAAATTGTAGTCAACTGGTTTTCTTGGTGTACAATTAAAGCATAACGGAGGATCCAGTGCTGATCGCCTAAAAAAATACAGAATATCCAGGTGTATAAACTTACATGTGCAGGCTTTGGAATTTGCAGAACGTAAAGTTTTGTGTTCACTTACGCGAACGGAAGTCGCCTTGCAGTTGATAGGTCTGGCCAGCGTTGAGCGTGCATGGGGCCTGGGTACATCCAGAGAGACGAACGTCAACAAGTTCACCAATACCTTGCAAATAAAATAAAAAATTAATTCGAGGACTTTAAACTTTAAACTATCCTTATGTACACACTTAGAAATTCAGTGTTAAAATAATACCAACAGGCACTCATATATTACAATTCGGCTAACGTGGAATTAACCAGTCAACATGTATTACTTGCTCGGTGATAAATATTACCACATCGGGAGCAAATTTGTACAACCAGATATTATTTTGTTGCTAACTATGCCTGATTTATTAGGTATAAGTAGACCTTTTTTTCTGAAATTTTTATCGCTGTAACTTCAAATTATCCGTGACCTGCAAGTTTTGGAACGATTTCATTAATTGAAACGGGTCACTTAAGTAGTTTCCTTAGAAGGTGGTGGTTAGAGTTGCCCATGAGGTGAGTTGAGTTGAATGAGGTGAGTTGGTTTTAAAAATAGCTTTTCTCATTAAAATACTCCACCAAAATCGTGGCTAATTGATCGGACCATAACTTAAATTAATCTATTTAACCTCATGACATTATTCATTTTTGTAAAATTTGTGTACGTCATAAAATGTTACTAAATGTACTGCTAGATGAGTTGACTCACCTCACACTATTTCCAAATCGCCTCACTTATAAGTGAGTTGAGTTATAGCCCAACTTACCTCACCTCATAACTCACCTCACCTCACGTTATGTGAATTTGCCTCAACTCATGGGCAACTCTAGTGGTGGTGACATCAATACCGGGAATTATAGATTTCCTCACCAGGATTCCCAAGATTTTATTTTGGAATTTTGGAATTTTTGAAATTGTCAAATTTTTACCATGAATTTTGCAACATTTTCAATGACAATAGAGCTATATATTGCTTACCACAGTCAGTAATGCCGCCAAGAAGTTTAGGTTCGACGGCTCTCCTAGCATTATGGAGTGGAGCGGTGGGAGAAAGAACTTGGGCGCTGCTGAGCGCGATAATGCAGGCGAGAAGCGTAAAAGTCGCAAATGTCATGGTTACAGTATATCGCTTATGTGGCTGACAAGAAATGATGCGCGGATTCTTTTTACACTGCTTTTATAAGCGAGTTAAGTTGATGTTGCGATTGCACACAGTAGGTTTGTAAATATGCTTGAGTGATATGCCACCTTCGAGTTTCGTGATCAGTAAATTCTACATGTAGCAAGTGCCGTTTTGATTAATTAATTTGATTAGAAATGAACAATCAATCACTCAGAATTCTCAACTCACGTAGTTGGCCGGGTTTATGTATCAACGAAAAATGCATGACAAAAATGTTGGATTAGAAAACACTCTACAGTGTCAAGTAAATCATGGGTCACGCATATCAAGCTGCATTTAAAGCAGAGAATATTTATAAGTTCTAGTATCGCATGAATGTTATTAAAGGGTCAAATGTCAAAACATCACAGGTATTTATCTATACCTAAAGCGGGATCATTTTTAAGTATTTCATTTGAAATTGTGGGAGAAAGAAAGATAGAGAGTTGGATATCAGGTAGTATATGAGAGCAATTGTGTAACAAGCTGTCATTGGTTAAAGGTTGGGCACTCCCGGCTATAGGACGGAGATCTGAGCATCGACGCTCAGTGGTGGCAGTTACATTTTTGCAAACATTGCTCATATGGCTATCTGATAATTCCAACAAAACTCATTAATAAATTTGAATCAAAGTCACGTTTTAAAGTATAAAACAACTTACTCTAGTGGCAATAAGTTTGATTACATAGACGACTTACTGAGTTGAGTCAATGCATGTTTTTGTATTCTCCGAAAATGAGCCATACATAATTCGATAATCTAATATTTGCGATAATGACTCAGTGAGATAAGATATTTTCGAAACCATAAGGAACCGATCTGACCGGGTTTTCGATACCATTGGTATGTTTCTGCGTATATACATACCTATTTACTTAAATAGGGATTTGTCCTCAATAAATTATTTAGAAACAAAACGTCATTTCTCCATGAAAAATGAAGTGGTTAGTTTCCGAAAGTCTAGGAATCACTTTCCTCCGCATCCACACCAAAACCGGGCCGAACTTTATTTTATAATTTAGGGACGTTCATTTTGAGTGGAACCCTGTTCTAAAACAAACCACTTGAATGACGTACATGGATTGGTATTCTATTCATTTAGAATTGCACACGCCACAAGTTTGGTGATTTCGATATAATTTTGACACCATGTCGACACAACATTATTCTTCCATCACACTTTAGAGTGACCATAGTCAGTATAGCTTAAGATATGTACTTATCAACAAACCAGGTTTTTCAAGCAGCACTGTGTGCACTTATCACAAAAGTAAAACGCACCCGTTTGCACACGGATACTCTTTTTCCGGCATAAATACAAGCTCCCAGCCCTATGTTGGATTGAGTTGAATACTCGAACACAATCAGACAAGTTAACTATAATTATGAAGTATTTTGCACTTTGCTTCAGTTTGGCTTTCGCGGTTGCCGAGATCAGAGCTCACGGTCGTGTCTCTGATCCCGTACAGCGGGGATCCTTGTGGAGACATCCTGAATACGACTATGCAAATCCAGGACGACAGCCGGACGACTATGAAAACTTTTGCGGTTCCAGAGCAGTCACGGATCCCTTTATTGGGGCATGTGGTCTGTGCGGCGACAGCATCCTGGACCCTAAGCTGAGAAAACACGAGATTGGAGGTGGGCATTGCAATCTGCCAAACCTTAGAGGACGATTTTAGGATGTGCTCAGAATCCATGAAAATCTGTAAATCAGATATATAAAATGAGATGTCCATATACATGACATGGAGTACGTCCTAAGTGCATCCTCAGGATATCTGATTTGCGGTCATTCGTAGATTCTGAGCAGAATTGTTAGTTTTGTTCGCCAAACCGAACCCGAACCGAACCTTAAAATTTTTTTCTGGATGCCGAACGGAACCCGAACCGAACCAGGTTCGGTTCGGGTTCGGTTCGGGGGTATTCGAACCTCTAAAGGTTCGGCGAACCTCAAACTAGCAAGTGTGATCCTGAGGACATCCCGTACACGTCGACTACGTGTTAGCAGCTTGGGATATAAAATTCTTGGTTTGAATTTGTTTGGGCGAATTTCCATCCTGATTTCCTCCTCCACCCTAAGATTCAATATTTCAAAAACCTTTTTAAATTTGAAAATCCAGCATTAATTGAAAAAAAAACTGGAATTTGAATTTCCAATTCATATAGCATTACAAACTAAACCAATTAAAATCTAAAAAATCAAAAAAAAAACTTTAATTTTATTGCACCGACCATAGTTGCGTCGGTTTAGGTCAAATTTACATCGTTTAAATTTGATCTACATCTCCACCGTTTTTTTCTATTTTCAGGTGAATTTGAACGTGGCATCATCGTGAAAACATACAACTCCGGGGCCACGATTCCCGTTTCTGTTGAAATTGCGGCAGGTCACGACGGTTGGTACGAGTTTAGGCTGTGCGATTACTCCAACACTGGTGTGGAGAGTGAGGAATGCTTCGATAACCACCTCCTCCGCTTGGCCGACGGCAGCACGAGGGTCAAGAATGCGGGAAATTCAATTACAGCGCAAGTTGTCCTCCCTGAAGGGCTCACTTGTACCAGATGCGTCCTCCAATGGCATTGGTATGGGGATGGGTCCAAACAATACTACCGAACTTGTTCGGACATTGCGATCCAATAGCTGTTATATGAGTACATGCAATCCGGAATAACATAATTTGCGACATAATCTATATCCTTACTTATAATAAATTAATAATAAATAATAATAATAATAAATAAATAACCCGGCACAACAAAGCGTAAACAGGGGCTGATACCACGTCGGAATGTCATTAGGCATACCTACATCACTTTCCGGTCATTTTTTACAATTGTCTCAAAGTACCCAATCATATTTCGACACGTCAACCGCGCTTATTTGTACATCCTCGATCACATTTTTTGACCGATACCCCATATGATAAAATTCATTGTTAAACTGTAAATAAAAATCACTTGATAATATGAAATTGTGAAGTTTGTATATTTACATACATTTATTATAGTGCAAATGTACTACCTCCCGAATTTTTTGAGAAACGGATATTTTAATTTCCACAAACTATATTTTGGATAACTTATCACGTAATTAGTTGATGGCTAAGAACATTCTAACCTTTTGCACATTTTTATTTATCCGTTTCAATTCAATGATCGATTTTTTAAATTAATGAATCCGGGAATATGGATGAACTTTGTAGCACATAATTTTTAAAATCTTGAACATTTAGATTATAATTATAAGTATTTCGAGGCCTAAAAGAATTCCAATTTGTAGGATTAATAAGATTCCCAACTCCAATTTGTAACCCAATCCTTGGGTGGTGTGACATCCGCGTCACATCCGAGTGCTCTGACAAAACCAAGAAGTCATACGATGAACCACAAACAAAACTACTAATATGTTCTTGAGGTTACTGGGCAGAAATCTAGTCTTTAGTACTGCATACGGTTACAGGTTGAATAATTATAATACATTTGGTAGGATTGAATATAAACCAATGCTTGACGTTGTTGAGACTTATCAAATCTCGATCGATGACAGGTTAGTAATTTTTTGTACAGCTAAGGCATATTTCGATACCTAAATTAATTGATTTTGCGTGTCGTCAAACATTGCTCGACTAGAAATTAATTAGTTCTGCAATAATCATTTAAACTTGCATCATTCTTGATGGTGTGAATGTTTTGGATTTTATACAATTATGCAATATTAATTTTAATTGTTATTTTCACAGTAATTGTTTTTTGCTGTTTAAGCAAATACATGGAATAACATTAAAAGTTCCAAAAATTGCACAAAAATTTTTTTGTGATGTTGGATTCTTCGATTGGATTTTTAATTAACATTTCAATTTATTATATTCAAAGTCGGCTTGAATTTTTTTACAGGGTATACAAACCAGGTAGGACTGTGTTTGACTGGTCACCAGATTATTGAAGTAACCTTGATTCAAATCAATTCTTTCCGTAATCCATTTGAAAAATTACGTAGTTGTAATACGTAACCATATAACAACGTAAGCACGACAAGTAAAGTCCATCATGATACCTGGCTGACGTTACTTTACAACGTGGGTATAAATTGGTGGTGAAATGTGGTATGACCATCACACTAAAATTTGTCGCCAACATGAAACCAGGAACGGCATGCCGTTTTGCGTACACAGATGTCAGGTTTAAACGTAGGAATGTGTTATTATATTGAAAATTCGAAAATCATTCGAAATTAATCGAAGTCGTAATTATTTGATAAGTGACAACATGCGGAGGCTACGTTGAAACGTCTTCGGCAACAATAGAATTTCAACTTGGCGGGTCAAGCCGGGCAGATATGAGATGCATTGGATCGTAAGAGGCCCCTATCTGACCCATAGGTTTCAACTGATTTCTTCCGGCCTTAAAGAAACGGATGGTCCTTATCTCGCCCAATACAAACACATTCCTAGTGGTCCAGGAGGCCAGATAAAACTGTAATAATTTAAATATTCGTATCACTCACGTGACACCATAAACACATATTTCCAACGGTAAAAATATGGCAACAATTTTCCCGGACTTCCCTTAATTCCTAGCTAAGAACCTATCGTTTTCTTAGAAATAACTACAATTGGTACAAGAAAATCTAACCGGTTGACTTTTGGGAGTCAGAAAAATTTTGCTGAAACTTAGTCGCTCCGTGACCATATAACTCTTGGATCACCCTGTACTTATTTTGTATTGTATTAAATTTAGGTCAACAATAGGGCAGAATGTCACGATAGACTCGAGAACTGTTATTATCACCTTGAACGTGGGACACACCCCGAACTGGAACTGGAACCCCGAACTGGCTTCAAACTGGATTTTTTTTCGATCGGTGCCACCCAAGCACAATACCTAACCGGTAACGTCGTGTTGTCCAGTGTCCGAGGGAATTTCAGTTATCCCGTGGGTGGCGGTAATTATGAAAATTTTGAAAGTGTCGTGTTTGCCATCGCCCCAACAGTTCTGTCTCAGCCAACGGTTCGTTTCACCAAGGTGGACCTTGAAACTGGTTCAAATTGCAATTATGACTCGATTAGGGTTTATAACTGGTACGAGTTTGAATACTTGCTAGTGCACAAGTAAGGGTTAGAATGATTTAGAATTTTGACATATGTATGGAGCTATGTATATTAACTTTCGGTTACTATTCAGATTATGTGGTCAAACGATTCACACAGCTGTCACGTTTCAAGATGGCGCTGTGGTCTTGTGGTGTTTTCAAGTGATGCCAGTTACGTTTTTACGGGATTTGATTTCCAATACGAATAAGATCCAAGTTGAGCAAAAACGGTTGCCTGAAAAATTTTCTTATATATTTCATATATATTGACGCAATAAATTACTCTTGATCATTACACTAAATTTATTCTACTGCAATATTCGCAAAGTAACCATTATTAAGGGACGAAGTTCCTTTATGGAGATGTCAAAGTCGTCCGTCTGTCTGTCCGTCCGTCTGTCCGTCTGCGCGATAAAACCCGTAATTTGGAAACAAATTAAAGTAAAGTAATTTAAAAATTTGGAAACAAATTTTGCATATGTTGTTCCTACTAGCAAGAGACGGGTCAAGTTCGTTATTCAGCGCTCTAGCGCGATTGTGAGGCGCAAAAACGCTATAAAAATGGGGAACGATCCTATGTATTTTCACTTTCATGGAGTTGCATGTAAACTTTTCATAGCGTGGTATGAAATCTGTTCATGAAAAATATTTTCATGTACAACCTGCATGGAAAATTTTCATGACATAAACCGGTAGACATGTATACAAACCCAACACAGGGGGCCGTGCACATACGATGTGATCATGCTACAGGGGGCCGTTCATATACGTTAATGCACTTGTGACATGACCACCTCAGCCTGTGAACTGGTCCACCTTGACTGTTTGTACCTGTATACCTCTGATTTCTGGAAAGCTCTCAATCGAGCCCAAATTTGGCATGGAGGTCGCTAATAACGCCTGGTGAGAGAATATCATATGAAATTGGAAAAAGTTTCATTTTGAGAGATCCAATGTGATGACCCACACCGATTTTTAAAAGTCATCCGATCCACGCGAAATTTGGTACTTACAATGTTAATGGTTTCTAATGAAAGAATATCAATAGATATCGGCAAAATTATCAACTTGTGGGCCGTATGGGTCATCTATACAATTTTCCAAAATTGTGAAATGGAGCTAAAATATGGAATGGAAGTTACTAACAGTTTCTAATCAAATATTGAGAATTGAAATTGGAAAAATTTTCCTCTGGAGAGTCTTAAGGGGGACTCGTCCATTTTTTAAATCATTCAATCAAGCTAAAATTTAGCTGGAGGGTTTCAATGAGGATGCAAAATAGTAAAACTACAGAATCTTTCAGTCTTTAGGGAAACTGTACTGATAAGTTTTTTATTTGACTTAAAATTATATTAACATCTCTTTAATTCATAGTGCGAGAAGTTGATCTGATGTAAATAAGCAAAAGTCTCAAAGATATTCAAAATCTCCATCTTTCATCGTCCAAGATTCAATCCACGTCAATAAAGAATTTTGTTGTGTCAAAAGATTGCAAAGTTGAATTGAAATCTTAAATACATTCATAATAATAATTGTTCATAATAATATCACATCTTGTATATAAAATCACAATTTAAATCCCTCATACTTTTCGACATGTACAAAGCAAGGTTTTGTGTTGAAGATTCTGTACGTATTATCTCCTAATATTTATTTCTCCTAATAAAACTCCCCTTCTTCTTTATAAATAATTCTCATAAATTCGCATTTGTAGTAATCTAAGTACACATCAAATGTCCGTTTCCTGAGATTCGTCCATTAATCTCTTGCATATATTTAATTTACATAAATACCTACCTCAGATCTCTGTAACGATTTAAAGATTTGATTTTAGCTTAGGAAATAGGTTGGACGTGTATAAAATTATAATCATTTTTATACAATTTTATGTAGTAAGAGAAATCTCTCGATGCATGGATAATTCCGGTATGGGTGTCAGATCATTAATATTTATAGGTACTTATATCCAGTTTGCCCAAGCGGTAAAGTTTTACATTCTGTGCACCGTTCCAACATCCATCTGGCAATTCGCGCAGGAATGAACCGTGTCTCCACATTCATGTTCGCAACAGTACGGAATTAAGCAGAATGGACAACCTCTGAAAAATTATAGCAACAAAAAAGGTACATACTTTTATGTGTTTTGGACAAGTTTGGGTTATCAACTTGAATAGATTTTAAATACTTACACGAAACAACAAATGCAAAGAGCCCAGCAATGCTGACAACTTCCCGTCTCCTTCCTGGTCACTGTGACTATCTCCATTCTGCAGTGAGGACAAATTGTTCGCTGAGGATTGTGACCAGAAATTGCCGATATGATGATCACCCCTAGAAGAAAGTAAGAATCGTTTAGTACATAAAATGTGCTTTTAGTTTTTGACAAGGGTACACTCTTAGAAAAAATGTTACTTTTTGAAAAAGTAAAAGCACTTTTAACTCCAACTAAAGTTATACTTACTTACCACATACAGAGTAAACGTTACCTTGTATCTAGTAACACTTACAAAGTACGTAGTAAATATAACCTTAACCAGAGTGAAAAGTGCTTTTACTTTTTCAAAAAGTAACATTTTTTTAGAGTGTATATTTTTTAAGTGTGGCTGTGATAGGTTTCTAAAAATTGTCTTAAACTTTTTGATCGATTGCTCACTTGTTGAAGGACCCTGGCCGGTCGATACATTGGCGTGTGTCTGGGTAATCATTTCTACCTTCTTGAGAGGAACATTACCAGCAATGCCCTTATCATTAACTGCCAATAACTCGTACGGCGGCGCTGCTCCTGGTCCCCCTGAGGAATGCACCATAGGTTGTTGCCCATCCGGAAACAGATATGGTGGTGGGGGGTCGTCAATATCCAAAACTGGATACTTAGGCTCGGCCATAATGATAATACTGGGCCTTGGTCGTGGATGAAATAAGGTAAAAGTTCTCCTGTTAATTTTCAAATAAATGAAAGAAAATTTTTGTTTTTCTGATTTATGAGTTGATATACTTTAAGTAGCTTTACTTCAAATTTTACGTTATGATTTCGAATTTGAATTATTGTTGAAAAAACTTACCACGATAATTAAAATTTTAGAAATTCCTCCACTCGAGCTATCTCTAAAATTTAGAATTCAATATAATACACGTATGTTAAAGACGAGAAGAGTTACTGACTCATTGCAGCTGCTCTGCAAGATAGAGAAACCAACGTCACACTCTTGTCCTATACCATCTATCCCAACACCTTCTCTTCTCCAATGTACATTGTACCCCTTTGCGAATTTTCTATCTTACACATATAGTAATCGTGGTGGTGGAAAGAAGCAGCAATATCTACATATGTACATATCTGTTCTTTATCTCGGGGTTGGGAAATTGCTGCTATCGTTGGTATGCTGGATTGCATGTTGTAAATTACAGTGAGTATGGACGGCGAACTCAATTAATATGAATAACTTACCATTACCAAGAAATGCTTGCAAAAACTTAAAGGAGTTAGTTTGGTCGTACATATTATCAGTGCAGAAAATTCCAAGAGAACATAACACAAGTTCAACTTAGAAAGACAAACGGATAGGTATGTATATGTACAATTATTTAAGCAAGTAGGGAGTTATGTATGAATAAACTTGAACTGCGCATTCATAAATAATTTATTTCACAAGACGGGTGTTTATTTTATTTTACGATGAAATTCGTAAGTTAGCATCCACAATGCGATGTTCAAGTATACGGTTTAGATTTCATGACAGATTTTCATAGATACATGTAAGATTTACATACGTAGTTTCTATACGTAGAAAAGTATGAGAAATGTTTATTTTTCTGTGCTTTATACTAATAAACGATGTAACATGGATTATTTGAACTTGGCTAGGATTAATTATATACATGTACAGTCCGTTACTTTTATTTACTATAAAAGCCTTATGACGGCTAAAGTGCAAAATAATGCGCTATTGTACATATGTATTTAGCATCCGCAAGAAGCATTGTTTCCAATTATGTAACATCTTCCAATTGCAAAAATAAATACATATACTGTGGTCGTAAAGTCCTTGAGCATCACTTTCGGGCAGGATTTTTAGACACAAAAATAGCTACTACTTTTACATCTGTTAGTCTGCGTTAGTAATTTTTTTGTCAAAATGAGGCAAAAAGTCAAGCCTTCTTTTTATGCAAAAAGAATCCACATACAAACATTACATAATGGCATTGGGTTTGGCATTATATTGCCAAAGAAATATGTGAAAAATTGAAAATGTCCCTAAGTACATTGAGGTCATGGAGAAAAAAAAATATATTTTAGGGACAAAAAACGGTCAGGACGATCGATTCTACTATGCAACAAGACGGCAAATAAAGTCAAAAATGTACCTGAAGTTTGTTAGTTCGGCTAGCAAGACTGCGATGATCTTAGGCCACGCTACTCAATGAGGAATCAATATATTTCTACTTCTTGGAAAGGTCTGAAAACGACGGATAGGGGCCGGACGGCTTACAGAAGTCAGATGAAGACAGTTTTAAGCAAAGAGAATACTACAGATCGGCCAAAATTCAGGGAATTAATCGAAAGATGTGCGGTTTTGACACTTTTATGGCAAGGGGCAAAGCTAAATAGTCGCTGCTGAGAGACGGACGGAATTGCACCGACAATGTCACACACAAAATTTGGAATAATATGACAGGAAAACCGAAGGACGTTGCATCCAGCTTAGAGTTGCCCATGAGGTGAGTTACAGCCCAACTCACCTCACTTAAATGTGAAGTGAGTTGGTGAGGTAATGAGTTGAATGAAACAGTAACTCAACTCACCCTCACCTCATATTAAGTGAGATGAGGTGAGTTGAATGAGGTGAGTTGGTTTCAAAAATAAATTTCCTCATAAAAACACTCTACCAAAATCCTGATTAATTGATCTGACCATAACTTAAATTCATCTATTTAACCTCAGAACATTATTTATATTTGTAAGATTTGTGTACGTCATAAAATGCTACTAAATGTACTGCTAGATGAGTTCAGTGAGTCAACTCACCGCAACTCATGAGTAGACTCACCTCACCTCACACTATTCCTACCTCACCTCATTTAAAGTGAGTTGAGTTATATCCCAGCTCACCTCACCTCATAACTCAATTCACCTCACTTGTGGTGAGTTTGCCTCACCTCATGGGCAGCTCTAATCCAGCCTGAATCCGAAACGCTACCTCACAATCATGGTAGCAGGTAATTTTTGCGCGGGTGACGTGTCGGGACTTCATTTTGTGTAGAATCTGTTCAAGTAAAAAAAATTAAGACTTCCAACAAGGTGGAGCTCCAGTATACATCGCAATATCAGCAACGAAGCTGATGGTGGAGAAAGTTAAAACGGTCTGGGGAAAGTGTGTGTGGCTCGGACAGTCTCCGGATCTTAGCTCGATAGAAACCTTATGATATGTACTACAGAATTAAGCATACCAGGGTCCTCGTCCAATAACAAGACTAAAATTGTAAGCTTATTTAAAAAAAATAGAAATCACTTCCTGTGGAGTTTCAAACTTGGCACAAACCTATGGGGAAAGGGTGGAAGAAATTTTTGATAATGCTAGTGGGAACACGTTATATTAAAGTACTTAAGAAAAAATAAAACTTTCGGAAAATTATAATCTACTAGTTTCTATCAGCTAATGAAAATCGTATCAATTTTACGCTCACATTCCTGTACATATGTACCTTGCATTTGGAACTGTGGTTGCTCATCGGACAAACTGAAAGTCTACATCAAATATCTGCAATCCATTAGTTTTAGTTTTTTGGATTTTATTGGATTACGGTTTTTTGTGCGGTTTTAAGTAATAACTGTTACACACAAAATTCAATGAATTTGTATACTTACGACTATTCTAATTACCTTAACAACAACAACCTCACTGTCCCTTTAATGCACAACACTATAAATCGCAAAGGTGTCAGAACATCTACAAAATTACTACCGAACCTTAACTTTATTGGGGAACATCCCCGAGCTCTCTTAAAAAACAACTTTCTATCACACGATATATCTAGACCGCCAACTTTTAGTTGATTTAACAAAACCTCCGACTTCTTATTCAGCATCCCACACAAACCACCGACGATCAGGAAGAAAAATCCACTTTGTACAAGACACGAGAAGAAGTACAAATTCTCCAATTTTTCAAACAAATTAGTGGCATATGCCACACAGAAATAACTGCAGATAATGTTACAGATGCCGAAAGCAAAGAAAATTCCGGGCAAGAACTTCCTTCGAAAGCAAGTATTGATTTGTTCAACAATAATTTTCAATTGGATGTAACCCTTCAGTTTACTTTTATATCCATCCATACATCGTATATCTGACTTCGGTTTCGACGTATTAATCCTAGGGCAAGATTAAACCAATAGCAATTTTATTTTAAAATAATAATTACTTGTTATGTAAATTATCGCAACCAATCAAACCTTAGTATCCAATTTAGCCAAACGAACAAGCAGAATATCGATGTCATGAATATATTTGTAGTTGTTGTAATTGTCAACCGAGCTAATACGCCGTATTGCCAGAATTCGATTAACATGGCTCCAAAATGTCCTATAAGTTCGAATTTTGTTGTATATCTTCCATTGAGTAACTTGATGCCTGATTTTCACCGAACACATCAAATTCAAACACTGATATCAAGTAACAATCCTCTTATTTATTCTCAAAATTTAATAGGATCGATCACTCTATTCAATTACCTGAAACTATCGATCCCAAGAATGGTGGCGTATCCGGTTTCACAAATATTAGTAGAACCAGGAAAATCTGAATGGCTGTAGTTCCCCCCATTCCCACAATTTGAAGTGACCATTTCAAAAAATTGGCGTAACTTATAGCTTCGCGGCATCCAGCCTTACTTATTCCTCGTTCATAGACCAGCTGCATGTTTAGCAATGACGCCAAGTCCTCTGGGGTGTCGTACCATGAACTCACCGATACAAACGCTACTCCTGGTATGCAGAAGGAAATCAAGGCAACCAAGACTTTTTGGTCCGTCTGTAACTTTGGCGATTGGAGATACCATAATCCGTTAAAGAAGAGGAACACCGAGTAAATAGCTATGCTAAGTAGTTGAACTTTTAGAAGGTGACGTTCCTTTCTTCGTGGTTGCTTCGAAGTTATAAACACTGATTGGTTTTTCTCATCCTGCACAATAGCAATTGGGACATGTATGAAAACAGAGATAAGTTTCAATTGGTTCTTTGTCACCGGTATAGTTGATGATAGAATCATTTCTGAATGTTTCAACCACGAAATGCTATAGCCAATTGAGCAAGACTTACGACATTTATTATTGGAATTGAATGAATGAAAATATGTAAATGAATTGATTTCTGTGATATAAATTTTTAAAGCATAAATCAATTTAATCCGGGCCCTAACATCGGTCACTTTGCAAATATTTTCCACTTATTTTCAAAATTAACCTACACATGAAATAGTTTAAACTACTGGACGGATGTCGAACTTCTGCCGCTTAATGATAACGCAAATTCATGAATAAAATAGTGTGTTTAGTTAGATCATGGTTTATATTAATTATTAAATATCCGGTTAATGCAAGACGAATGTACAATTGTAAACTGCGGTGCCCTGGCTAAAATACTGGTGAAATAATTGATTTTAACCGTTTTTAGAGAGTTCTCTGATTTTTTTGGCTTAAAAATAAATTAAGAACTTGTTCATTCCCAAGATTAACTATGCGAAATATTGTAAGTGTAATATCGACCCTGTAATCCTTAAAAACATAGACACTTATATGCCGTTAAGGATACTCGGTCAATAATTGGTAGGTTTAAATAAATCCTATTAGCAGAGTTTTTGTACCAAGATGTACCTCGGACATACGGAATCTATCTGCAGCAATTTTTTTTCTCATAGCTTTTATCACAGCTTAGAACATTTATTATGCATAAGATATTTAATGCATGAATTGCATATGTCTTTAAATATAATCACACATTTGTACAACCAGCTTAAAATCTAAGTTTAAAATTATTTTGTATACGGTACAGCTTCATCATGAATTACCCTTTACACACAATCCACTTACATGTCCACCGCATGTATCTTGACATTCGATAACTCACCAATTCACAGATGAAACCAATTACTGCAGCACCTGATATACCTGCACATAAGACGAATACTCCTTTCAATGCGGAAAACGAGACTTGTTCC